CTCGAGTGGAACCAGGCCGAAAGGGAAGCGACGAGTTGGTCGTCAATGCAAGGGTGACTTGGAGGAGATCATGTGAAGAGAAAATGAAAGCATGTGGACAGACTTGGAGTGGGGTGAAAAAGTTGGCAGAAAACCGAAGGCACTGGAGACGTGTAGCTGAAGCCCTATGTTCCTCTAGGAATTAAAGGATACAATAATAATAATAATAACCCGTTCTAAGCTCATGGTAATTTACGATAAGAAATATATTGAAGTTAAGCATATTGAATTAAATGCAACTGAAGTATTAAACAATGATAAATTCAGTCTTTTGATAAGGTCTTCTTCAGAGCTAATGATAAAAATCCTCTGTAAACACCTCCATGAATTCCTTCTATAATTATTTAAGAATTTTCAATAAGATGAAAATGTGACATACTAAAATAATCATCATTCAGCACATAAATAGTAATTTGTAAAATTATATAACAGATAAAGCATATTTATTTATCAGTGTGATCGATTGCTTGATATAAGAAGGTTGCATAATAAGGGTAACACTTCTTACTCTCTCCCTCTCGCTCTCTCTCTCTCTCTAGTTCTTTCTAGCACTCAATGTGTTTATCTCTTTCGTAGATAAATGATATACTTCCACTGTAATGCGATCAATGTTTTATTTGTGTAACTGAACAAATAATGCATTGCATTACGAAAAACTAGAAATGTGAGAGAATTCACATAGGTAATAAATATTTATAATGCCTATTTTTAGCTGAGAACTACAGTTTATAAGTTAAATTATCAGCAAAGAATTACTGCATTATTTAAGGAATCTTTATTGACAAGATAGGGTTGTTTAACATAAAATCAGACTTAGTAGATAAAATTCTCCTTAGGGATTAAAAGTACCTGTCATCACTAATGTCTAATTAGTACTAAAAATGATATGTATTATGAAAAACCATTTTAAAATAAAAGGATAAAACTATTTTCTTTATTCACATGGAACAAGATTTGTGGTGTAAAACAAAAGCTACACACAGTTGATTCATCTAAAAGGCATTGGTCACCGGATGAACAGATGATCTCTTTTTTTTAACTTCTCACATTCTGAGAGGGACACAGAGCTCAAAGCTTTCGAAATTTCAGTAGCCGTGGTGTTATTTCTACACTCAGTTCAGTTACTAGCTCCAAACTCAACTTCTCGTCCCTTACTACCGGATAGGCTATATAAATAAAGGAATGTATCGGCTAGAAATCGAATCCGGAGCCCTCTTGGGGTTCGTTGGTGAGAATTCTAGCACTGAACTACTAAGCCACACAGGCAGAAGGTAATACTTGAAAATTAATCTGATGCCCACTAATGACCTGCTACAGGACATAGTTGCCTGGAGTTCTAGTGATAAGTCGTGAACAGTGGGGTTCCAGTCGGAGGTGAGGATAGAGTTCTCACCGATGACATTAGTCGATGGTCGCACCAAAATCACTAATTGGTAGAAGTTAGAATTCATGGACTGGTCAATGTATCGAGTACCAGTGGCTGAATGGTATACGAGCTTGCCTTGTAACTAAAAGGTCCTGATTTCGAACCCTTGTGGTGGGTGCGTACTGATGATGACTCCCAAAAACTAGGACGAAACAGCTGTCCAGTACTCCTTGAAGGTTTTCAGTGGCTCTCTATCTGACATCAATCCATGGTCAAGCTCGAAATAGTTCTTATCGCAACAACAAATACAATTGTAGAACTAGTCGTTCAGTCACCATTAGATGATCAGAAACCATGATGGAGGAATAAAGATAATCTACCCAAGGTTCAAGTTATTTTTCTCAGAATAATAGAAAACTTTTTTCTTTTTTTTCTAAAGAAACATTCAAGATTAAAATTAGAAACTAAGTGAAGATGTAGGAAACATAAAGCTTGTCATGAGCGCCTAAAAACATGAGGTTCAGTATTTAAACCTGTAACCTCTTTTGAATCATAAAGGCGGCATTTCTAAGCACCCAGATTTAGCAGTTATTTATGGGATGAAGTGAATGGACAGTAATAGCTTTCATCGCTAATTTCTTACAAATGATATGCTGTACACATACACTTCTTTGGGTGACAAAATCTGTTCACCAAAGATCACTAGAACGCAACCGTAAATCAGGAATTATTCAACTCCATCTGTCATGTTACAAAGCTTGTATTTAAGGCATAATATGCAGAACACTATTCAAATTAATGACAATTTGGTCTCTTATCCAGTTCTAAAGTGAATCATCAGTTTAAACACATTGTTGATAAGCATGACACATAACAAGTAAAAAGAAATACAAGTGAATAGTTTAGCTTAAACAAAACAGAAAACTACAAAAGATTGTGATGAATGTTCTCATGAGTAAGTAATATAAACTGTTGATTGATGAGTTTTATGTTCTCACTTTTCGAAAACATCAATTATGTTAAGATTTCAAGACAGATACTAAATAATAATAATAACTACTTCTCATATCTGATGGACAGCAGAATATTTTCTGCCTTTCCTTTCCAAATAATTTCTTCTTTATCTTTGTATAAAAATTGAAACACAATTCAACGAAGGAATGTGAAAGCAAATATTAAAATAGTCCTCTGATGAACACTTAAAGGTTAGTAGTAACTTATTCTATTGTATAAGGTATTTATAGGCTAAATAAATACACTCACAGTTTACAGGTTTTCATTATGAGCTGACATCGGTTCGAGAACCATTGGAAAACCATCTGGGAGTACTGTACAGCTGTTTCGTCAGCCTATTTTGGGACTCTTCGGCAGTACACATCCACCAACTGGGCTCCGACCCAGAATTTTCCAGTTACAGGGCGAGCTATCTCATAGACCATTAAGCCACTTGGATTCGATCCAATGGCCTATGAATTCTGACTTCTGCTAATTCATGACATGGCGCAACCGCTAGCCAATGTCTCGCCTTGTAACTAGAAGATCCTGGATTCCAACCCTGGTGGTGGGTGCGTACTGCCGGAGAGTCCTAAACCAGGCTGTCCAGTACTCTCTGTTGGTTTTCCAGTGGTTCTCTAACCGACACCAGCTCATGATGAAATCCTGTAGCCAATCAATCAAATCTCTGCAAACCAATACTTGAACACTCACAGGTGTTTGCTGTTTTATCGACCAGTGAAATCAAAATTTACTAGGGCAACAGAAGGAGTGCATAGGTGGTTCATTGTTAGAATGCTGGTTAACCACAATGGAGGTCTAGGCTCGAATCTAAAACGATGCACTCAAAAAAACTTGTGTAACCGCCGGTAAAGAAGTGGAGATTTGGTTTCAGGCTAGCAACCCTACCAGGTATAAAACTGACACACAACCATTGCTGAAACTCTGAAGGCCTGAAGCTTTCTGTTCCACTTGGAATACAGAGAATAAAAAAATTAAGGTATTACAAGAAATGAAAGAAAATTGTGCTTTTCTGGTATGAATGTTGTATACCCATCTGTATAAGAAGCGCTTTAAATTTAAATCATTACCCATCTAAATCCATTGTTTAAAACAAAGGAACACCTTAGAAAACAAACTTTTGATGATGATGATAATAATAATAATGTAAACCTCTCAAGTGTTACCATATTTTTTTATCTTGAACAAATAAACTATGTTTACGTATTTATCATAATTCATCTACGCTTCATATGCAACAATGCATAATGTTATATTCACTGAAGAATGTTCAGGGTTGATGAAAATATTTAGAATGCAGTTACCCAGTACAGACTTCCTATGCATCACACTCTAAACTGCTTGTGTTGTAGAAGGTTTGACGATAATAACCAGTTGCCCAAGCTAAGATATTCTAACCCTGGATACTCTGTCTAAAAGTAAATAGCTGAATCCAACGGGACAGATGGAAATACAGTTTTCTATAAATAAATCTGTTTTTTGAATGATGAAACTCTGTATCGATAGAGAAACACTTATACTAGATTGTTGGAGACAATCGGCCACAGGAAGCCTTGCTCGACCTAGGTTTCGTGCTAGTCGGCACTCACTAGTCAGCAAGGCGTATATACAACCTTGAAGGAGCTCATATTCCTTATGAGATTCGAACCCAGATCACCCAGTTCTGCAATCAGAGACGTTACCACTGAGCTATTCGGACTCCCGACTGACCTCCTGTAGGACTGTAGTGGATACTTTGATTGGACATATCACACTAGTTACTAGTGTCCAGTCAAAAAGAAAAATTATGCATACACAGTGAGAAACAGATTTTTATAAAGACCTAACAGTCACTTATAGATTTGTTATTCATGAATGTATAAGCAAAAAGAATTTACTTGAGGATTCTCTGAAAGCAGTTAAACGTCCATAGATTATCACTTGGAAATTAATTATTAACACTGATAACAAAGACTTGTTTGTTAGCAGAATAAATCAACTGTAATAGTTCATACATACAGATAACGTGTTGTCTGTCTAGGGCTGACTAACGGTAGAGTCCAAGGTACATATTTCGTGTTATTTGGGATGGTTAAGCTGGCAGTACCTGTATCCTTTGTGAGTAAAACTTGAACACAGGATATTCCATCGTTAAACACTACTGAACAAATCTCGTTATTGGATGGTGGATTTCATCATGAGCTGACATCATTTAGAGAACCACTGGAAAACCTGGGAGTACTGGACAGCTGTTTCATCAGCCTGGTTTGGAACTCTTTGGCAGTACTCACCTACCGCCAGGGTTGGAACCCAGGACCTTCCAGTTAAAGGGCAGTCAATGAATTCGAACTTCCACCCATTCATGACATAGCGCGACCATGATGAAATCCTTCATGCAATCAAACAAAATCCCTACAAAACCAATACTTGAAAATCTCGTTATGTTAGAAATCATGGTAGCATGAAGACATCGTTTGTTCACTGAGCTCACCTGCCAAATGTGGTGGATCAGTTCAGTTCAGAAACATCAAAGGGTAATGACAAATATTATAGTAATGATAATCACAACAGGAATTTTCAATTTTACTTAAGTTCAACTTACATTGTAGACCTCTGAACAACTTGACGTAGAAAATCTAAAGTGTATTGAGCATTTCCAATCTCTTGTAATATGTCACCATCTTCAACATTTTCATCAACTGGATTTGCCGAAGGTTCAGAATTAGCATTCTGTGTATAAAAAAAAGGAGAGAGACGACACAATTTTTAAATAATCTCCACTAAACATGTCAAGCATCACTTACTTCCGAATTAGATTTCGTTACAAATCGAAATCAGTTAGATGGCTGATTCCTGAAAACCAGGAGGTGTTAGACTGTCGTTTCCTCCTAATTTGGGACTGTGCAGCGGTACACACTGAAACAAGAATCAAACAGCTGTTCAGTGTTCCCACGCTTTCAGTGTTTCTCCAACTAAGGTCTCTTTGCCGAGAAAATCCCGATGGAAATGAATCGAATCCCTCAAATAAACATGAAAGTCATCGAATTAATTAAATACATTATTCATCTCTTGTAACACACACACACACACCAGTACACTATAACTTAAGACACTAAACATATATTTCCAATATGAAATTACACCCTACCGGCAAAATAAATTACAAGCAAACGTTTTAAAACGATTGTTATGAACACAAGTAGAACAAATAAAGCCGTACCAGTGGAAAGTATGAATCAGTGTCCTGTGACTAAGCTTGTACTTGTAATTTTAAACCTATTTGTATATTCTGTAGAACTAAAGTAATACCTCTAATTTAGCCAAATCAGTTTACTCTGAATTGATACAAAGTTAATTTCTACAGTTTCAATTTAAACACTGTTTATTTTTATGGTTCATATTTATTCTTATTTAAGACAATTGGCTGAATACACTTCTATTCTAAAGAAAGTGGTTCCTGTACAAAGTCGAATCTGGCACTTGATCTTCAAAAAGATAAGATATTCTTCTGAATCTTGTCATTCTAATATTTTACTTGGCTTGTTTGAGTAGCCAATGATACGCAGCACATGAGTTTTGACACATTTTAGACTCATCATCTGGATTGTCCTCCATTCTAAGTGAATGATGGAGTTCCCACCTCAGTGGGTAGATAATGATTTGGTGACAGTGATAAACAGACCGTATAAATCAACTTCTATTTCACAGAAATAATTAATGTAAGCTCCTGGAATGATGAAGAAGATCTGTAGCTTTTGTGTTTCATGACCTGGATAGTTTCATTGCCTCTGTCGACAAAATATTTTGGAATAACTTTAGTCCTTCTCAACTAAACTATCTAGTTGACTGAATACAAAAACACCAAAAAGGATTCATTTCAAAAGTTTAGTCAGTCTTTCAGCTACACCTACTGTGAAGTAATGAAGAGTATTTTCCCTAGCCGAAATGTCGGAGCACTCAATATTAAACACTGAAATTATATGCTAATTATATCATTACACTTCTGAATAAGAGTCGGGAAACATTTTTAACGGTATAACACAGCTCAGTGGAGGCACATAAGGTGCAACTGCCAGCTTTCAAAAAGTGACTCTAGCAATTACACCTCACCTCAACTAATCCTATCACATCGTACACAGAGTCTGACGGACATTTCGATACAAGAAAAGACCGCGATATTATTATTACTATCATTATTAGAATCGTTATTACTTGATAAATCATAAAAAACGTGTATTTTAACCAATACAGTAACTATCAGTAACCTGATAATGTACATTAAGAATACAATCAAATCCACAGAGCACGAATTCTAAAAATTTACTTAGGTACACGGAAAACAAAAGATGCTAATGCAGAAAGAGTTAGTAATTGATGAAGTTGAAATGGTACTTCCAAACATTGGGGTTCCTTGTCTGATGGAGTGAAAGTTGACCTACTCAGACACAGGCCTGGATGCTGACTACCTTCTAATCTCATCAAATGAAATAATTGTGTCTTGCGAATGCAGTTTACTCTATTCCGGCCATATGAGTAGAAACAAGGCACTGTGATATTATACAACTGCTTATTGCTTCATTTCTCTGACATACTAGGCAATAAACAAACTATCGTCTAGAAAACAGTTTAGTGCTCATATTTTTATCAAACGTAATTTCATAATTCCTAAAACTCTTTAAGACATTATAATAATGATTTAACACTTTCTGGGGGTAAAACAAACCCACAAAAATATGTATAACGTGTTAAGCGGGATTTCGACTGCATTTGTAGCATAAAAACCCTGACTTAACTGTTGGCCCAAGTCAGTGAGTCTATGGTTTTGGTATCATTTTAGTTAATTGTGCTTAACTGTATTGCATGTTATTGTATTGTATTGTTGTTGTCACCTTTTGCCCTTTTTGCTGTGGATTATTTTCCTTTTGCTGGTGTTGTTCTGATTGTTATATTCCTTGCTTTCCGATTTTAGGGGGAGCAACCCAGAAAGTCGCTTCTCTCTAAGCTTTATCTTAATGTAACAATTCCTTCGAAGTGAGGACGGAAGTGAGGCAAGCTGGCTGTTTACTATCACCAATGATCTTCCTGATTGCAGTAGATTGGATAATGCGACAGACAACGGGAAATGACGAAACAGGCATAAAATGGACTCACACAAAAAAAGAACTCGGAGGATTTGGACTTCGCTGATCATGATATATGTCTGATTTCTCACAAACTGGAAGATATGCAAGTGAAAAGCAACAAGTTGGCAGAAGAAGCATCCAGAGAAGATAGGACTTCAAGTGAACATAGATAAAACAGAGGTAGGGGATGAAGATTCCTGGCCAACACCAACAGCAACAACAACAGACAACAATCAGCCAGCATAAATGGGAGGAACCTGAAAGAAACAACCTCCTTTACCTACCTACCTACCTACCTACCTAGGAAGCATAGTCTCAACTACAGGAGGGCAAAACTGATAAGGATATCAAAGTGAAGATCGTCGGGAAAGCAAGACAAGCTTTCATTACTCTTAAGTCTATGTGGACACCAACAGCACTCATCATCAAAACGAGTATAAGATCCGGATTTTCAACTCCAATGTGAAGCCAGTCAGTGCTACTATACGGATCACAGACTTGGTTGGCGCCGCGTCATAAACAGCATTTCAAACAAACTTCACACCTTCATTAACAGTTGTCTTCGCTCAATACTACTCGAGATCAGATGGCTGGCCAGAAAAGATCAGCAACGGGGTGGGATCTCTGACAAATGAGCGAACCAACCCAGCAGGAACCGATTGTGAAACAAATATGCAGGGAGAAATGGAGATGGATTGACCATACTCTGAGAAAACAAATCATCAAGTGACATCACTAGACAAGCCATTGCTCGAGTGGAACCAGGCCGAAAGGGAAGCGGGCGGCGAGTTGGTCGTCAATGCAAGGGTGACTTGGAGGAGATCATGTGAAGAGAAGATGAAAGCATGTGGACATACTTGGAGTGGGATGAAAAAGTTGGCAGTAAACCGAAGGCACTGGAGACGTGTAGCTGAAGCCCTATGTTCCTCTAGGAATTAAAGGATATAATAATAATATCATATAATAATTAGCACTCTCTTGTAGACTCTTTAAATCTGTGTTTTCAGCACTTAATTAGTTATGATGAAGATAACCACACGCACACACACATAAACATAAACAAACACGTTGATTTACTTATTTAACTTACCTGATTTTGAAAACAACAACTACAGATCATCAGTTGTTACTCGTCATACAGTTGTCACTGTTACATATGACGTTTTTCATTACCCAAGTTAATAAATGATTGAATATTTCCCGATAAATTATCCTTTTGTATGAAATGACATTATTCTATTCAATGAAAGGAATGAAATAATGGAAATGTTGAAGGTGTTTGTTTTGTTGTTTTTTTTTTAATCCAAATACAGTAAAACACATAAAGCATCATAGTTGTTTGTTAGAAAATGAACTAAAATATTTTATCTCCTGTGAAACCAGTAGGCAAATAATGTTACACTTAGATGAAGAAAATAATTTACATTACAGTCAAACTTTTATCTTTTTTGATTTTTATTTTTTTAATTTTTGATTATAGCTTGATTCCACCCCGTATTTTTGGTACAGGTATGGAATTTTCAGCATGTGATATCGGTAGCCCAAATTTTGCAAGCCGACCATAGATATCAGGCGTGCATCGGCAGAGGATTGAACTCCGGGCCATGTGCATGATCGCCGAGAGTCCTAACCACTATGCCACCGGCCACGTAGGATATATGGTGCCTAATGATTACAATGGTGCGTCAGTGGCACAGCGGTTAGGACGCCCGCCGATCATGCGCATGGTCTGTGGTTCGATCCCCGGCCGACACACTCCTTTACTTCGCTAAGCTAGGAATAAAGCTGGTAAAGAGCAAAGGTTGGGCATGATGCTAGCAACCCCATCTTGTAAAATAAACACTGCTACAGAAACTTCAGGCCACTAGCTTGAAGCCCCCTGTGTTTCACTGGGAATGTGAAGGAATAAAAGAAAATGATTACGATGCTACAATCAATCCACTTACATAGCCTAAACTTACACATGATCACCATATTCTTGGGGTTAAACCTCACACACTTGGAATAAGTGACACCGATTCGAATTTAAAAAGGAATACGTATTTTTCCGAGGCTATGTTTCATCTGATAATATACACCGACAAGCAGAGAACGTTGTACCGCTTGATTCCTCCTAATACCAGATATCAAACGAAGTTCATTATGATATCGTCCGATTTAATAATGGTAACACCTAGTTGATATATTCAAATTAATCTACAGTCCAAACAATCACATTTTGTATCATCTTTGTATCTTCATTCTCACAAATTTATATACAATGATGTAATACTACAACTTGGGATAACCTATAAAGAGTACTTGTACTTGTTGACCGTACATTTAGTAACAAATTTCATGAAATTTACTCTATTGTCAGTCTCCACTTGCCTTCTCAAAAATTACTTAGATAAATTGAAATGCATTCCACTTATTGCCTAGTTTACGCCTGTTACAAGCTTGATTTCATGCCTCTAAATGTAAGGAATTAAAACAAATTCAAGTATTCATAATAATATGTTAAGAATTATTATGCCTTAGTTACACGGAACGAATTTCTTTATGTACAAGGCTATAAGGCACATTCATTGTGAAAGAGTTGAAGATAATATTTACTTGCTTGGGTTAAAATAGATCGAGAGAGATTCAAATCCCTAATGACAGTGAGTTACATCAGCCACTTCAGAAATATACGCCTAACCTTCATAGTTATATTTATATAGGTTTCACTTTTTTTAAATTCTTGCTTTTGATATCATCGAAATATCACAGTGCTATTTCTCAGACAAAGAATTACGTTAACTATACCATTAGACATAACATAAAGTCTGTAGCCCCTATTTAGCCAGAAAAGTTGTATATAAAGCTAAATTTTTGAGTGAATTAAGACTTCGAAAAACAACAACAGCAACAAATTCGCGACAAATGCTCTTTTTGCCCTACAAATAATGTGAAAGAAGAATGCACTCCTAACATTTACGAATTATTTATTCATTTGCTCAGCAAATAATAAACGAAATACAGCTCCAACTTCCCCAATGTTCAATGTTCAATAAGGATGAGAATGTTTTGAATAAACAATGAAGGCGTTTCATTATGCTCTCTCTCTCTATTTTTATTATTGTGATGATGCGATACGCAAAACTTATCAAAAAAATACTTCTCATTCCACTCAAATGAACAAGTTCTTACACATTAAATACAAATTTTCTGGTATTGAAAACATGTCCAAAATAATCTATTTAGCTCAATCAGCTTCAACATGCTTTACTACTATGTAAAATTTAAGATATTCCACTTTTAATACGCCCAAAAACTAATTTATTGCTGCTAATTACCTCCATTCTGCTTAATTGTTTGATAATTTTGATAGATAGTGTGAATAATTACTTGGTGATATTTGTTAGACATAAGCAACTAACAAGCCCTTATTTGTTTTAAATTCTTAAGTGTATAAGCTGTTGTATATGTTGGAAGAAGTTGCACTTACATATATATGTGTATTGTTGCGTCACTAGGGTGTAACCAGTCAGTGAATTCATTCTAGTCCTACAGCATGTTCATGGTGATCCTCAAAAGCTGAGTAGTAATGTTTCCGACTGCAGAAATGGTTGACAGGGATTTGAACTTCAGACTAAGCATCATGTCCTTCGAGGTTATAGATTCGTCTCGCTGACAAGTACCGTCAAACACGAAACCTAGGTCCATAGCCTCCTAACCTAGACAAAGCTCTAGTCTGCCTTCAACCTCCTAAAGCCAAATAGTTAATGCGTACAGCCACGTATAAAGTCCACAGGAATTATAAGCAAACTACTTGTCACCCAATAGGAGTGATATTCAATTTAATTTGGATCTAGCTTTATTGGTATTTTTGTAGTCATGTGTGACTGTAAATCGAATCTGACTGATGAATCTTTCTACTTTAAGTAATTCACGAGTGCGTGTGCGATCACCTCAACTTCAGAAACTTTAGAAAAACTGAAATCAAGTAGAATAGTATTTTCTAAATATCCATAAGCACTCAGACAGTTTCGATTTTTGTAAATACGTACTGATTAGGCTGTTTAACATGACATGGAACGTTCTCCAGCCAAAATTTTGATCTTAACATCCTCACCCTGAGTTACAAATATTTTCCGCTAAGTAAATTGCAATATCTGTGGTATTATAACTCAATAAACACTCTACAAATATTTAACCCTATTAAGTCATGTACTACTCGATCAAGTCTCGAATGCCATTCGCGTTTTTATAAATCAAATAACAATTCCATGAAAACAATGCTTTGAAATGCAATTCCAAGGCAGCAAGTACACTCAATTCTTTCATGTGTAGTATTTCATCTCCTTCAGTTACATAGATTATGCTTGACCCATTCATCTGAAAACCAAAACCGCCTGAATAAATTTTGTAATTGGACAATTTCGTAAGTGCAGTGCACGTAAATGTAAGCTAAAAGTCTGCTATGAAGGTAAATATCAGTTAACAAAGAATAAAGTACTTTTTAAATTTTCTCTCGAGTGCTTAAAGTAACAAATAAACTGCCTTCATTTTAGTAATGCTTCTCAATAAAAACAAACGAGTATATGTGAATTTCTGTTATAGCAAACATAACCTGGAGGTTACTGGTTCAAATCTCTCCTTTAGGCTGTTTCTTTTCGTTTCAAATACGCTGACTGATCACCCAATAATACACATGACTGTGTACACAAGACGAGATACTCGATCCCTGTGTCTCAAGGAATTTTACATCGTAAAAGTTAGAAATAATGAGATCTACTGATCTTTTCTACTTTCTAGTGATAATGTGTATTGGGAATATTTTTCACATTGCTGAGTTAGGATTAAAACCAACTTTACCTAAAATATCTTTTTTCGAAACTTCAGTAATATTTTAACACATTAAATGAGGAACAGCCCATAAGCCTAACTAAAATTGACTCCCATATTTGGGATTTGTTTGATATAATTCACAGCGATACATTATTAATAACTGGCTTAACTTAATGCCTAAAACTGATAATCCCAAAAGAATATACGGCACTGACAAAGTCCATAAGGCAAGATACCCCATTAGACCGATAGGTAAGTGTAGGAACACCGCAATGTATGAGATGTCGAAGCATTAAGCAGCAATATTATATACTATTAGAGATCTCTCAGTTTCTGGGCTAACTAGAAGAATTGCAAATAGAAAAGGATGTAAACATGATTAGTTTTGACATAACAAGTGTATACACTGATATTCCGATTGACACAGCTCTGGAAGCGGTTGGGAACGACCTAAATGTTGGTCCTTAATTCACACATAGAACTGGGCTGTTTGATGGGATAATGTTGGGTATTTAGTTAGATCTGACTTCTCCAGTCTTTAAATTACAAGATAAAACATACAGGCGAACAGTTGGAGCTCCAGTGGGATCTCTAATATCCGCTATATTAGCAGATGTATTTATGGATATTCAAGTATTGGTTTGTAGGGATTTGGTTGATTGGTTACAGGATTTCATCATGAACTGACATCCTGTAACTAATCAACCAACTCCCTACAAACCAATACTTGAATACCAATGAGATGCTCATTGGCGACTGGCCATATTCAGGTAGGTTGTTACCTGGGGTTCCAGTGGGAAGTCGTGACCAGTAGGGCGCAGCACGTCGGGTGTGAGGACAAATACTCGCCGAAAACATTGGCTAGCGGTTGCGCTATATCGTGAATTGGCAGAAGTTAGAATTCATGGGCTGGTCATTGGATTGGGTCCCAATGGCTTAATGGTCTACAAGCTCGCCTTGTAACCAGAAGGTCCTGGGTTCGAATCCCTGTGGGTGCGTACTGCCAAAGAGTCCGAAACTAGGACGAAACAGCTGTCCAATACTCCCAGGTTTTCCAATGGCTCTCTAACTGATTTCAGCTCATGATGAAATCCTGTATTTATGGATATTTAGGAAAGCAAGGCAAAGCAATGGGATCTAGTCCCACTCCTAAGGCATGACTGTGACATGCGGATGGCATTCTGTGTTGAAATTTAAACATATCTATGATTTCACAACAGTACAAACTCACTAGTAAATAGAATCGAGTTCACTTTGGGGTCAGAAAATGGAAAAGATGAATTAGCTGCTATAGATTGCAAAATCAAATGGAAACAAAGTAAATACTAGAATCTATTGGAAACTGTCGTATTTTGACAGATACTTAGACTTTGAATCATCTCACCCGAAATCATTAAAGGTGAACCTAGTCAGATGTTTAAGTA